AAATAGAGAAGTTTTTATTTTATTTCATTTGTACAACACAAGTAATGTGGAAAAATATCTGAGAACAAAAATTAATCGTTCGTGTTTTGTTTTCCTTTAATGTCTCTGAGAGTCCCACAGAAACATCAGCAGCCGCATAGCGTTAAAAGGATTCATGGTCAGACTATTGGAATATCTATAAATAATGTAAATAGGCAATTAGATAAACACATACGGATATAAAATGTTGAAATGTGTTCCAATCAGGGTTTAAGGAATCAAATCGTTTAAACAATGTGCTCTTGAGAGTTCAACCTTTCTCCATGGAGGTGTTACCCGGTTACCGTTCTCATTGAGAATCACTGATCTAATTTTTAAAATTCATTTAAAAGTTACTTTGGTTAAATTTTCGAGTACGAAAATAAAGCTAACTGATACAGACTTCAAGAGAGGGCACCTCGACAAGCTTGCTAACCGTTATTAGCAAGCTTGTCTCCCTAGAACATTTACAACTGAATAGTGAGTTCGATCCTCATTGAGTGCCCCATACATTGCCTTGTGCCACATCTAAGCTACGCTTTGAAAATCACTATAGACTTCAAGAGGTCTGAGATGTGTATTCCTTAAGTCGGTAACTGAGTTTTGCCATACCAGTGGTTTTTGTGTATCTTAATTGGCAAGGCACTTTTCCGATGAAGGAGCTATTCCCCGATGGAATAAAAAAGAATACAGGTTCGATTCCTGTCTAGAAGTATATTTTTCATTATTTAGGGCTTCTCGATTTCTAGGTTGATAATAAAATAATCTGTTTTAAAAAATATTAGGAATGTTAACTCAAACTAGTATACCCATAAAAAATAACGTTTAATAATCTAACATCTATAATAATTAAGATGAAAACAAAAATTAAATAAGTAAATTAAAGCGTGTTTTATTGACACAGAATTTTATCATCAATTTGATAAGCGATACGTTTACATCGATTACTTAAAACTTGGTATGTCGACCTATTTAGCAAATAATCACCTTTCCTTATACTTGTTTTCAAATCTGTTTTTAGTATTCTTTAAACAAAGACAATTTATTTATTTATTTATTTTTAACTTTCTTAGTTTCCGGTTGTAGAGCTGTTTACTTCAGGAAAAAAAAACTGATTTTCTACGAGAGAATCTCCACTTCAAAAACGATAAAAACATTGGGTATTTTATTCGATATAAAATGGAATGTAGAATGACGTTAGGATTTGTTGTTTTTCTTTACAAATAGTCAGGGGACATTCATAAAGTGAAACTTTGCAAACACAAGAATAACAAATAGGCAGAGGGAGAGAGAAAAAAATAAGATCCCTGGATGCATAAATTTGGCCACATATTTCCTTGGTCAATGAATAATCCAGTCATTGTTGAACAAATTATTCAAGAACGGGTCAATTTTTTTTTTTTTTTAGATAAATGATCATATGGAAAATTATTTCTGGTTCACACACAAGAACAAAAAAAAAAAAAAAAAGATAAAAAGTACGACATTTAAAAAAAAATAACCTTTTACATCCTAATTGTTAATATACAGGCTATTCTTTGGAACCTCGAGGCGGTATAGTGGTTAGCAAGCTTGTCTCGCTATAACAATTACGACTGAGTAGTGAGTTACTGGGTACCCCCTGCTTTCAGCCTTGTGCCACAACTAAGCTACGCTTAAACAAAATCACTATACAACCTGTTCTCTAAATATTCGCAGTCGTTTGTTTGGACATTTTAAAAATCTTTTTATTTTTTTTAAATTTTTTAAAGAGCTTATATAGAATCATAAAACAACAAAAGAAAAAAAAAATAAAACAACAACAAAAGAAAATTAAAAAAATAAAACAACAACAAATAAAATATTTCTGTGAAAGTCGGACCGAAAGTGTTAACGGGTTAACCTTATTTCATTATTGTAGTTGTTCGAACAGTGACAAATGGGAACGTCGGATATTAAAGGTAGTTTAATTAAAAATCAGTTCACCCGAAGCATATAAATGCCACTAGGACACAAGGGAGTTACTGGGAGTGAAAGAGAACGAGAATACTTTAGCAAGGAGAAAGGACAATAAAGGGGCAGGATTTCAGGTCAACAGAAGATGGCGTTGGACGTTGCATTTAAATTTTCGTAGGAGGCAGGGAAACAAGAAAGCGGAAGAGACTTCCACAGGTTAGAAATGCGAGAAAAGAAACTGATAGAATAATATGAATAGAACTTGTAAATGAAATAAAACCTACCATAATTCTGTGAATTCTTTCATTTCTTCATATATTATTCTTCGGTGTAACGCTTTGAGAGCAAATTCAAATCATTGCACCTCCAGCAACAAACAACCAGGACGCATAGCGAAAGCGGGGATATTATATATATATATATCTATATATATATATATATATAAGAAGTTTTAACTCGGTGATGGTGTTTTGCATTCAACACTTGTTTATTCTCGGCTAGGAAAATTTTAAAAATATTCTTTTGAATTATGATGTTTTTTTTGTTTTTTTTTTTATTATGAATTAAGGGGTAATAAACGAAATAAAACGCTTTTGTGGTTTTCACTATGAATAGAACTGCCCGAAAACCTACCTTGCAAACATTTTATTAATAGATTTATTTATAAGTAAGGTTGTAAAAATGAAGATATTTGAAATTGGCAACTTTGTCCATTTCATTGACATAGACGTTAAACAACTCTAGCGTCCGTTTTTTTTCTTTCTTTCTCTTTCTTTCTTTCTTTCTTTTTCTGACTGAAACAAAGCAGCGTCTCTGATACAGTGTAACCCGGATATAAGAGAGTTGTCGGGACCGGAGACGAAGTCTCTTATATCCGGGTTTCTCTTATATCGGGGTTTGGTCTATTTTGTTTAGGTAAGTATGGGCTCTAATTTGGGACCAGAGAAAATCTCTCTTATATCCGGGTTTCTCTTATATCAGGGTCTCTTATATCCGGGTGACACTGTATATCAGTTTAATATTTTCACGCGGTCAGAACGGAATAGTCCATTATTTATAAGGTATTGGCAGGGCGTAATGGTTGTGCAAACTAAGGAACTAACGAAGGGAGGGTGCAAGCACAATTATAATAGAGATTAGATATTCCTTTAGAAGGTTAAAATTAATAATTGAAAGAGAAAAATCCTTCAGTTCAGTAGGTTCACAAGCAATGCAATAAATAAATGAAAAAGAATAAACATAAAAATAAGAAAATCCAGATGAATTAATTTTATTTCCCAATTTCACAGCAACTGTTCCGACAGCTACTTTCGCTGGATCCCAGACTGCATGAATTTAAGTGAGCTACTAGGCTGGCATCTTGGTCCCACCCTTTCATGTCGAAACGGTTAAATGTAACCGTCTCTTCTACTCAAACAGCCTCTTCTCTCGCACTTCACGTCTGTGGAATCTCTCTTCCTCTTGCTTGCTTCCCCGATAACTATAATCTTCAAATATTCAAGTGTAATGTCAATCGACATCTTCTGATACGTTGATCTTGTTCCCTGTTCTTCTCTGTATCCTTTCCTCAAACACGCCTCTACTTTTGTTCTCAATCCTCTGTAACCCCTCGCGTACTAGGGGCACTCCCGCCTTGCTTGGGGTCAATTTCTAAAAAAAAAAAAAAATTATTTGCGCTAATATCCTCATCTTTGTTGTTTGAATCACTCTTTCAGACAGTGTTTTATTCGGTCTTCCTCTTATGTAAAATGAAGTGCCAAAAATTCAGAGACAACAATACACTGGATAGTCTCACTCTCCTACTCTTGTAGAATTGATCTCAAGTCGGTAGACGTATGTATGACGTAATAGATAAAGAGGTAGTGTAGCTGTGACGGTGACACATGTAAAATTTAACACCGTTTGACCGTAGAATGATTCCTGGAGCCAGAAAGATGGGATACTAACTCTGAAGTGGCAACCCCTGTAGTTTTTTCTCGGTCAACATTAGCAAAGGCTTACAAGGAATATGCGAATTCTGGGCAGATATAAGTGGCGCTTAAAAACTGCAGGTGCTCACATATGATACAAAAACACGATCGCTGTCGATCGAGAAGGGTAGTAATCAAAAAAAAAATAAAAATAAAAATAACGTATAACATTGCATCAAGTCACATTTTAATTTAACGTTAGGTCTGTTCAACCCACCAGTCAACGTATTGTACTGTTGAAATATTCTCAGCCCGACAAAGAAGGGGATGACAGTGACTGATTGATTTATTTTCTTTTGACGGCTTATCAAGCTTTTGTGGATTATTTAAAACCAAAGACTATATCAGATTGCAGGAGGTCGCTTACAGTACCCGATGTTCCAAAACAGACTCCCATCTAAGTACAGGCCTTTGTCGACACCACTTAACTTCGGTGATCAAACAAGAGTCGGTGTTTTCAGTATGATCTGACCGTAAGCGAATCGCACAGAAACGTGCATGCTATTCTACTTACACTTGGTACATCGTTTCCCCCCCCCAAAAAAAAAATTCAGAGGTTTGGTTATTGAATTACTCCTCTGCTCCTGTTAATACCTCAGAATAATTCAGGAATTACCCCCTTGTTAACTCCTTTTAAGGTATAGATACAGGGAGTAATGAAACAGACCAAGATCTGGTAAGATGGAACCCCCAAATATTTAAAGCATCCATCGTCTTGCTAACCAATTAAGCAGGTACATTGCCCTGAAAAAAGAACTCCATTTTTAATTATTTTTACAATGATGTTCACCCAGTACAAGGCTCGAGGAAGAAGTTTACAGAGTAAGAGGTACAGCGAATATGCGTGGAAAACGCTAGACTTGAACATGTTAAGATTGTAGTGATCGGGGAAGCAACGTTTTGGGAGTCGGTTCCATAAGGCAATGGTTTGTGGGAAGAGTTGCTCGAGTGGAACTGACACCTTATCAAATACAAAGGAAATGAGGGTGGGTCGCTATAATGTGTATGACATAGCGGGTCTTAGGCATGAAGGTTAGGACTGGTGTTAACTAAGGAGTCTCTCTCTTAGGATGTTCGTCATTGCTGACGACGACGCTGTCCATCCATCTCCGTCCATCTTCTGTGGGCTGTCAAATGAGATAGCAGTTCGATCCGCGAACGACAAGTTCTCGAGCACAGGTGGCAGGTAAACATGCCCGGTGCGGAATTGGCAGGTTGCAAATGACGCTGGCGTCGCCTCACCTCGAGCGCTCCTCGTCTCTCCTCCACAAAGTGCGTCACTCCGGCGACGCAGATAGACCGCCAGCCGACCCGATCCCTTGCGCAGCTCTCCAACTGTGTTAGGTCAATATTGCAGCAGACAAGAGAACGCTTAAGGTAGTCTCGAAATCTTTTCTTTGGGCCTCCACGTGGGCGGCTGCCGGTCTCGAGCTCTCCGAAGTGTATAATTTTTGGGAGGTGACTGACCGTCATCCGCACAAGAAGTCCAACCCAACGTAGAAGGCGTTGTTGGATGATGGGCTCGATGCTGACGACCTCCACACGTTGAAGAACCTCGATGTGGGGGATTTTATCCCTCCAAGTAATGCGCAAGCTTCGCTGAAGCCAGTGAATGTGGAATGTCTCAAGCAGTTTTATTTGTCGGTGATACAGGGTCCAAACTAAGGCGTATAGTTCATCTTAACACTCTCCATAGAAATAGCGATAGAGCAGTGAGAGGCTTGCGACGTCTCGTCTGTGAGAAAGGGGCTGTAGGGTGGAAAATAATCCGTCACCCACAAGGACGCAGAGATGCTTTTGAACTCTATCCAGTGGAAAGTGCAGACTGGTTAGCTCCCGCCCATATATGCAGCCAGCAGTATTCCATTTTCGGTCTGATCTGGTTCTTGAAAACGTAGGGGATAGCTGGAGGAGTGATGTACTTGCTGGAGCAATACAGGGAACCGACCATTTTCCCAGCATCTTCAGCAATGGATCGTATGTACGAGCCTAATTTGGTTTGGTTCACGGCATATCAACCTCAATGGATTATTTAATGCCGACAAGATTTTTTATTGCTCACAATTTCTTTTTCAAAAATGTATTACTCTTAATTATTTTTTCTCTAAAAATGTCTTGCTGGAAGTAGTATCACTCGCCTCAAAATCTCCTGATCAGAGGCCTTGTTGTTGGATGTAGTTTATTGCCTTACCCAGAACGTGAATGTAGTTTTTAATCTTACCCAGGACGCTTGAGGTCTGGGATGAGTTTAAGTCCCAGTAGACGCTCAAGGCATAGGGACTCCCATCCGTTTATCGCAATTGGTGAGAGTGTAGTGTTCGATCGGTGATGGTAGAATGTCATTAGTTTCGTTTTCGAGGCATTGAATATGACCAGCTAGGTTTCCCCCACTGGAGCTAGGCTGAGGAGAAATTAGTTGCCAATCTCTGGTCATTAAGCAAATGAAGTATTTTGCATTAATAGTTTGACCCTTCTGAAGATAGCCACCAAAATATCTTTATTTTCTAAAAAAAAGAAAAAAAGAAAAAAGTGTTCTGGATCTTTCCAGCTGCTACAATAAACAGGCTGTGCTAGGCATAGTTTTGCGCAACACCAGAAGTTGCTACAAAACATTAAGTCAACTCGAGTTATGTTCTTAAATATCCTCATCAGATCAAGACTGTCTTATGGATGTCACGCATGGCGTCAAACTTCTTTAGAAATATCTAAACTGTCAGCTGTATACAACCGCTTTCCCAGAGCAATGATTAAAATGGCTTCGATCGAATGAAGCCTATAGTTCTTGGAGAAGAATGTCCTTCTTCGAGACTCGTGGACTGGCGTACAGAATTACAAAGAAGCTTTTATCAAATAAAAGAAACCGTATCATTTGGGGACTGCCAATGACAGCAACAACTAAAATGGATAGCACATGTAACTGGAAGTGAAAATAAATACATAATCAAAATGTTGACCTTTCACACTACTTCGATCAAAAAGTTAAGAAGGAAGCCTTCATCAGTAATGGAAAAGTGATAACAGGAGATCTGAGAAACATATTTTCATGAAAAATTGTTCCAATAGAAAGATCTCATACCGACAGTAGCACTGGCTGCTCGGTCAATGAATACTGAATGCTTCCACATAAGGAAACGTCTACTAATCAACGGGGCCATGAATTTCTTCCGCTATCAAGAACCTAAATACCACTTCTTCATGGTATTTACTCGTCTCCCCACGGTGACGTGATTTGACACAAAGTTGGTTTCACGTGGGATATCCGAGCGCGTACACCCCGGGCCCACTTCTTCACGGATTATTGTTTGATTTCCAGATGTTAGTAGTTGTTCCAAGTTGTCCCAGAAATTATTACTAGATCGATTAAAATCTTGCGAAATCAATTTGAAGATGTTTACTTGATATTGTTTCTGGTCGATATTCAATTAATTTTGGCACCACGTGAATGAAAGTTTCGCCATATTCAACTGTTCATGAATATTTAACGCAAATCATTCCGTCAGTTTCAGCAATTTTTTAGGCTGGGATTCGTCGATCGGTTAATATTAGGTCATAAAAATGATTAATAATTCCAGGAGCTGACATTGTTGAAGAACTCCTTGACCGAGTTGCAACTTGGGTCTTAAAATTTCTACACTGAATATTGTCACACCAGAATTGAGAATAATGGGCACTTGTCACTCAATGTTTGCATCATGCACTAATGGATTTCGTTTGGAGTTTTCTTCCGCAAGAAGAATTAAGAACTTCAAACATTCTGTTGACGTGGTTCAGTCAATGATTAAAAAATTAACTCAAGAGATTTTGCATATTTGCATTTTACATATAAAAGAACTCTTTTCAGCTACAGTAACAAAATAACGCTCAGATTTGGGGAATATTTTCAGAACCCCCGTTGCACTGTAATTTATGGAGTTTCGTAGCAGTCGATCAACAAGCCATAATATTGTTGACAGCATGGCATCGATTACTGTGTCTTATCTGATCCATAAAATATAGCTGAAACCGTCTCGACTGATCAGTGGGGTGACATTTCCAGTCATTTTGGACAGGGTCGAGTTCGTGTGTTAGGGAGATCGTAATAGATCCTACCTGTCATCTTGGTGTTGTGTAAGTTAATGGTGGCTCTAGCATCCGCCATGTCAATGACACAGATCTGAGCCATCCCCTGCGTATATACAATAATAAAGAGGAAGTTCCACTCGGACAGCCTCTTCCCTCCTATCGTTACGTTATGGAAACGGTTCCTTAAAGGATATTTCTTAGATCACTACAATCTTAACCTCTTCAAATGTAGGGTTACCTGTTATCTATCCTACATATCCTCATAATATGTACATTTTACTACCTTCATGTACGTCTTTACAAAATTAAATAATTCTAATATTTTTTTCATTAAAGTTTTGGGCAATTTGCTTTTTAAGCCCCGCACCAAGTATCTAACAAAAATTTCCCGAATAGTTATATTTATGTATAAATGTACATGCTTAATTCGAAAATAACAAAGAAATTTTGATAAAATCTACCGTTTTGGAGTTATCGACAATAGAAGTTAGGACTCATTCGTATCGTGGCAACCATTACTGGCGTTGTTTGCATATATTTGCTGCGGATTTAACATTCACTTGTCTTGATGATTGCGCACGCAATAAGTCCTCAGTTACGCAGTAATAGAGAAAAATAAGAACTGTAACAAGGCCGTTAATCTTCCGGATAAATTTAATCAGCAGCGAATGTATACAAACAACGCCAATTTTTTGTTATTTTCGAATTAAGCATGTAAATTTACACATAAATTAACTATTTCGGAAAGTTTTATTACATATTTAGTGCGGGGCTTAAAAAAGCAAATTACCAAATTTAAAAAAAAAATTATTTTCTGAATTTCGGCATTATGGAATTTGTGCGCTTTGGCGACGTGGTCAGAAGTAAATTCAATCGGAATTCGAATTGGTTCGCCGATTTTGAGTTCCCTGCTGATAAGAGCCAAGACATTTCGCATGGTGGAGAATATAATGAGGAAAGAAATCTCAAACAAATCATGAATACTGAATTCATAGACGAGCTCAAAATAATCACACACGTTGTTGCACATACGTTATACACATGTATTACACAAACAAAGAAAATTATCAATATTTCGTTGATGAAATTTCTTATCTAATAAAGAAGTGAGGTTTGGAAATTGTTGTTGGTTCGATTCAGACAACTGGACAAATGTGATATTTGTTGGTTAAAGATAGAATAAGAAATTTTAATTTTTACTGCGGCTAGAAATATAGCTTAAATCATGGGTCGGCAAACTTTGGGCCTCGGCAAGCCAGATTGCATATCAATAAATGAACACTGAGTTAGATTAATGTCATAGAAAATTTTGAAATACAGGAATTTATTAACATCCATAAGATTGTGATAGACAATTGTAAAACTATTAATTTATATTTATAAATGACAAGCAAGTTTTACGATGCAATTGTATTAGGGCTAAACTGAAAATATTCTTAATTCTTTTATCAATAATTTAAAATTCAGATATATACTTAACTTATAGAGTGTTTGCCGTAGAAGGAGGAGTCAGTTATGTGCCATGCGTGATACACGCTTAGACGATCATGTATCTGACGAGGCAGATTTTTTCCCGCAGTAGGTTGCCATTTCTTTCTGTGGTAGACTAGTTGCAGTTATGAGCACGTGTGGTTAGAACATTTGCACTCTGACCATGAGATCCGGGTTTGAATCTTACCATGGTCGATTTGTCAGGAAGAAGACTTCTTTGTGTTATCGGACTGGAGGGGTCGATCTCAGCGCGCGGCACCTTTGGAAAGTGCTTGAAAACCATCCCAAGGGTTGACGCAGGGTTGCGGGTGAAATTGGGTAGACGGAATCCTTGGAACCGTCACAAATTTGTTCAAATTTTGATCACGCTAGATAACACGCTCTTTCCTTGAAACTGCATAGTTACAGTATAAACTACAGGTTGGCTTTGTGGGTGTTGAATAATCACAAATGCTCCTGAGCAAGCGTCTGCAATAGCCCCCCCCCTAGTAGACGGGTATCCACAAATACGAGTGGCCAGGTATACATAGACCAGTTGTCATCCAAGGCTATAGAACCCAGTTTATCCTGTTATTTACCGATGGTTGGGGGTTGGGGAGAGAAGAATATGATTCATACCTAATTTATGTTACTAAATTAAAACCTAACATTGATCGGTTCGTTTTAAAGTTATAAAATATTTTTTCGACTGTAACAATTTTCTTTCTTTTTTGAAAGAATAATGGTTTAGTGATACAAGTCTTACTAATTAACCCATAGCTGGGGAAAAGATATAGCTTCATACCTTTCCCAAGGGTATTTGCACGTAAGTGAATATAACGAACCCAGCGGCAATTGGAACTTAGCCCTCCAATTAACAATTCCCAGCCATTATCCATTACGCCACTTGCACATTAAATATCACCATTCGTTCAAACTTAAAACAGGTGTCAGCAATCTTTGCGTCTTAGTGGGACAGATCGCGTAAGTAGACAGTGGGCCAAATAAATGCCATGAAATGCTTGGAATATTGGAATTATTCATTTAAATACATTTATTGTTTGTCTCAAATCTAAGTAGTAAGCATCATAGAAAATTATTTGTATTTAATTAAGAATGCCACTTCGTAACTAAAGAATTTAATCGCAAATTATTTCAGTCAAGGTATCTTTTGCATCTATTAAAATGAAATTTGGATCTTTTCTGTTAATTCACCCCAAATAATATAAAGTTACTTATCGCAAATATTAATTCATCCCAAGAGATTATAAATTTTAAATCAATGTTTATTTGGGTCTTTTTTTTTATTAAATTTTTGGAACTCTTTTGAAATTATAAATTTTAAATCAAAATTTGTTTAGCTTGCCCCGCAACAACTTCAACCATCAGAATGAAAAATTTCCGAAAAATCAGGGAATTATTTATATTTCATAAGTGCGGATGATATTTGAGTTACTTACAAGGAATCTTTTTACAATTAAAAAAAATAAATCTATTTTGGCTTGTTTATCGGGGTGAGCGTGAATGTAGACCCCGCAATTAGAAATAGCACACCAGAGTCGCCAAAATTTGATGCGATCGCAAAGGTCAACCCAACGGGAGTGCAATGGAAGGGCCTCGCTCTGGGAGAATATGGTGTGAATTTTAGTAAATATAAATTCTTTTTATTTTGGTGGTGAATTAATATTTTAATGTGAATTGACAGAAAAAAAATCCTGAACTTACTATCATACTATTTACGAGAAACTGGATAGGGCAAATTAAATATCATGGTTATTGCAGTGAAAATATAATTAGCATAAAGAGGTAAAACAAAAAGATAAAAGAAAAAGAAAAGAAAAAGAAAAGAAAAGGAAAATATAATTAAAAAAATACTAACCAATTAACGCTCTTTACTCTTCGATTTACCTATTTATCATTAGCGGTTTCAATTTGAAGGCACACTGGAAATCAGTGTGATTTCTCATTGTCATCATGGCTGCTTTTTCCGAGCACGTCTGTGTTTCTTCAACACCCTCAGGGCTAAACTGTTTTATACTGTAAGTATATACTGAGCAAACCTTAGTCACGGTTCAAGTGTGTGTCCCACCAGGGCTACATTCGGTTTTTAATTCAGAGTTGCACTTCTATACTAGTTGTTAACCACGGCTAAAGAGGTCAGTATGCCCTGTTCTTGCTAATTCATAGTTGGAATGGCTGAGAAGATATGTATTTGATCTCGACCTGAATTCGAACTCTGATCGACGATTTCGCGTTCTGAGCCTCTAGTGATACCGCCTGAAAATACGTCATTATGGAAATTATATTTATTCTTTTTGCTTGCTCTTCCTTCCCAATTACACTGATTTTAATATGTCTGTTTCTTACTGCAGTAATAAAATTTTGTAACCCCAGAGAAAATAGTTCAATCACTTATATGATACACGCTTAGGCGATCATGTATCTCAATACATGACTGACGTGGCAGATTTTTTCCCCGCAGTAGGTTGCCATTTCTTTTTGCAGTAGACCAGTTGCCATCCAAGGCTATAGAACCCGGTCTGTCCTGTTATTTATCAATAGCTGGGGGAGAAAAAGAGGATTCATACCTTTCCCAAGGGTATTAGCACGTAAGTGAATGCAATGAATTCGACTGAAATTCGAACTCGGCTCTCTGATTCCTCAATCTGAGCCGCTATCCATTACTCTTACCGTAAGTATCATAAAAATAAATTAAGATAAATTACTGGAAACAATCGAAGGATCAATATACCAGTGTTTGGTCTGAAACAAAATGGAGACTTGGGCCACTTTAAGAAGACGCCATGCCTGATACATTGGTGTGGTCACGTGATTCACTCAGAATAAGTAAAAAAAAAAAAAAAAAATCGTTCTCGAGACGGAGATTCGTAGTGACCCAATATTTGATCGCGAACCGGATCTGGCTAGTAGGCCTCTGTTGCCTACCCTTCGTTTAAGCAGTCACTAATTTTTGACTGTAAGTCTTTTATAGATTTCATAATTTAAAAAAAAAATCTTTATTTAACAAAAGCAAAGTACAGTTAACTTCGTATTTTTTTCTTTTCAAGAAAATAAATAAATAAAGAAAGAAAACATTACAAAAGAAAAGCCAGCAAAGTATCTACAGTTGTTAGTGATCTCAAAGGTGTGGGCCAGTCTAGAAGATCATACACACTATCACTTCTCTTCAGTCGTCGGCAGTATACTGGAAAGCACGAAGCCTCCCCACATCTGAAAGGCAGGGCAACAACCAGATTTTGTGCCGACTCTGGTCCTCAAAAAAAAAAAAAAAAAAATGTACTGGAAGCAGGATACCAGCTCCTCTCTGAAAATGGCAATTCACGATTTCTTCAACCCAAAAACTCGGTCCAGGAACGTTCGAGATCTTCGCTTAAAATCGAGGATTTCTCGGCACAAAACGTGAAATGATTCCAGAACTTTGTTGACGTCCTCTGATGCTGATACCTCCATAAACGGGCAGCCGAAGTCAATTGCTAGAAGACGTCCTAAACAAAAAGACAAAACAGAAGAGATACATTTTTGTTTAGACCTTGTTGTAACATTATAATCCAATCAGACAAGCTTTCAGAATCAGTCTTTTCAAAGCAGTTTCAATGTTGGTTCTTGGTTGTCACACTAAATCTCTAGAAACTAATCGGACATGTTTTCACTGAACTTCTGTGGCTACATACCTGTCAAAGTGTCTAAATTTGGAGTTTTGAGCACTGTCAACTGCTCGAGTTACGTTTTATTTTTTAATCGAATTTACCCCAAGCAAGGCAGTAAAGACACAAGGGGTTACTAGATGTTAAAGAATTAGAAAACAAAACATTGTGAAGTAGCGAGAACAATAGAAGAATAATCAGGAAGGCGGTAGATAACGAATGACATTTCATTTAAATTCTTGAAAATCAAAGTTGGCCAGAAAGCATAGAGCCGGAAGAGACTTCCAGAAACGAGAAGTGCGAGAAAAGAATCTGTTAGCATAGAACTTACGGCTACATCTAGCCAATTCAACTTTAAATTGATGAGACCTTGTTGTCAGTCCAGTCTAGTACAGTGCTTAAATTCATAAAGTCTAGGTACCATAGTGAAGAGCTCATCTGAACAATTACCATGAAAGTATTTATAGAAAAGGCACAGGGAAGCAACTTTACGGCAGTGGGAAAGTGACTGAAGACGAGATGCCAGGTCAGGACCAATAATATTGCTGGTTCTTCTTGGGATTTTATCAGGAATCCCTAAATAAATAGCCGGAACATGGGACCATATGTAGCAGCATTTTTGTAGGCATAGGTGAATGGTAGACTTATAGATATGTAAGAGATTCTGGAGAGAAAAATTATCTAGCATAACACAGTGAACCAACTTTCTTAACAGCTGACCTAGCAATGTAGTCTTTACACTTCATGCCAGCAAAGAATGTTAACCCGAAAAGGTGCAACGATTAACTCTCTTGGATATTAGCATCAGCTAAAAAAAAGGTGGAAAGTGATCTTTCAGATTATTAACAGAGAGCAGTTTAGTGTTAGAGGTGTTAAAATGATCAATATATTTTTGCCCCAGTTAACAACAGACTGTACGTTGTTTTTGAGATCAGCTGCCAATGTGACCTTATCGAACTGGCCAGACTTAGTATCGAGACAGGAGTAAATGGTTGTGTCATCATCAGAGATACCAAGTTGAGAGCTAATGTCATCAGGAAGGTCGTTAATGAAAATTAAAAACAAATTGAGACTAAGGATTGACCTCTGGGGGACACCTACATTAGTAAAAAAGGATTTAGAAGAGTGGCCGTTCATGACAACGTTCATTTCTCAATTTGACAAGAAAGACTGAATCAGTTCGAAAACTCATCTGGAGACACCATAACTTTTCAACTTGGGAAGAAGACCGGTATGCCAAATTCTGTCGAATGCTTTCGAGGTGTCCACAGCCTGAGCTTCACCATTCTTATCTAGAGCTTCATAAAGTCTTTCCACAATAATCTGTAATACATCAGCAGTTGACCTCGAGAAACGAAAGCCATATTGCTTGTCTGAAAGAAGATCCCCCCCGTTGTGACATGCTTAACTAATTCAGCATTTGATTAGGTTCCTTTAGCAGTTTGCTAAAAGGAGGTAGAAGCCGATAATTGGAAGCGCCGGACGGTTCACCTCAGTTTTTAAAGACTGGGAAAATAGATGTGGATTTCCAACAAGCAGAAAAAGCAAGACGCATCGAGACATTTATTATACAGAATGAACAGGAGTCAGTTCGGGAGCACATTTCTTAAGGAATATTACCAGGTATACAGTCAGGTTCTCATGCTTTGTGGGGATCCAGATTAGAGATGACAGCAGAAACCTTAGAAGGTAGTGTATGCATATCACTCATTAGGGACTAATGTCTTCAGTGGGAAGTTAGGCAAGGATACTCCAGATGAGTCAGTAAGTAGTCAGCGTTAACATTTAGCTTTATCAGCAGAAGATTTTAACACTTCAAATTGAATCAAGAGAGTTACGTTTTTTGTTTTTTTTTTTGTTTTTGTCCACTTTTAAGTACATCGCCATCTGTTGATCAGACAAGTTACTAAACAAAATAGCAGAACACAAACATAAACTTCTGCTCACCTAGATATATGGAGATAAAAAGGTGGTATTATAAATGACCCTCTACGTTGATGCCAACACTTTAAAAGGGGGATAGAATTTAATCCTCGATGCTTCGAAAGCCGATATTTTTTTTTATTTTTTTAGTAGCATAAAATAATTAAAAAAAATAATTAAGAAGTGTGCATAAATAAATGTTAAATACTCCGAGTTTGTCTTTACACCCTTAATTTGGAGGGAAGTGTATTAAAAGAAAGCCAAACGGTTTATTTAAAAAAATCATTTTGTGAGTAAAAGTTTTTTTTTTTTTTAAATTTAGAATTGGCTCTAAAAAGAACCGCCAGAAATAAATGTCATGGTGGTCTGTTGAGGATTTATTTTTCAAATACATAAAAAAATATACCCTTGTATTTATTGTCCACCGAAAAGGGTAGCTTGCGCCATCGTAAATTTAAAGCGGAGGTCCTTTTGATTCACCTCTGAAGATATTTAAGAGGGGTCAGCGTATGAACAGTAGATGGTTAGATGACGGAAGAGACGAAGTCTGATGGCTGCGGAAAGATTTTAGGCTTTTTCGTGTGAAAGAGGTCAGCAGAGCGAAGGGCAGAAAGTTTTTGGCATTCTTAAAAACTATGCAGACGAAAGACATTTCACAATAACGTAAAACTTTCCGGAGACTCTTTTTTTAAATTTAGAATTGGCTCTAAAAAGGACCGCCAGAAATAAATGTCATGGTGGTCTGTTGAGGATTTATTTTTCAAATACATAAAAAAATATACCCTTGTATTTATTGTCCACCGAAAAGGGTAGCTTGCGCCATCGTAAATTTAAAGCGGAGGTCCTTTTGATTCACCTCTGAAGATATTTAAGAGGGGTCAGCGTATGAACAGTAGATGGTTAGATGACGGAAGAGACGAAGTCTGATGGCTGCGGAAAGATTTTAGGCTTTTTCGTGTGAAAGAGGTCAGCAGAGCGAAGGGCAGAAAGTTTTTGGCATTCTTAAAAACTATGCAGACGAAAGACATTTCACAATAACGTAAAACTTTCCGGAGACTCTCGCGGGGAAAAAAAAGCAAAAAAAAAAAAAATCGTTTAATGGCCCCAGTGAACCACGTCGGTCCCAAGCTGAAAGAAAGCAGGACGACATTGAAAAAATATCGTTAAAACCTCCCTGAGAATCTCGAGGGAATTATGTTTAGGTTTGTTCGTTTGTTTATTAGGTGGGTGCACACCTTGTTTTCTAAGAGTGATTTCTTCTTAATTTCAACAGTTTACGTAACGCCTTCTCAAAGTTTTTTGTCTTTCATGGTTTAAATAGAATTGTATTGTGAATTTTTTTTATAGCTAATTATTTCTATAGTATTGTTACGTTATCTTGCCTTGTCCTTAATAAGGCGCATGAAAGGAAATTTTTGTGCAAGCCTTGTTTGTAAAATTTTTAGTTTCTTATATTGTTTCATATTTGTTCAATAAATCTTTGTACCTTTCAAATTTCACGAGATAGTTTCGATTCTTGTTAATTACAGGATGCGCCCTTTTTTAAAATTCAGGATAAGAGAGATGACGTTCTCTCTTATCCATTTCCATCTCGGAAAAAAATCATCTTTTATTTTGCACAAAATAATCAGTTTTTGTAAATTACATTTTTTATAAGCCAGAATACCCCCCCCCCAAAAAAAAACCCAGCAAAAACTAAACATCAAAAATATGTTATTTTATATTTTGTCTTTTTCTTTTAAATATGAAATTTAACGATAATCTTTTCGTGACAATTTTCCATCTTCTTTCTTTGTTCTTTCCTTTTCTTTTTATTAATTTTCTTTCTCTCTAATTTTCTTTCTTTCTTTAATTCTCTTTCTTTTGTTTAATTTTTATCCCTCTCTCTCATATATTGCTCATTTTTTCAACATTCCTTATTCCTCTTTCTACTTCATCTACTGGAATTTCCTGCTCACTCATGCAATTCAATTCACTGCATCTATTCTCCTTACCTTGGTCCTGGGTCACTTGGCGGACGTGGGCCATATCAGCTTTGTTCCCCACCACAATCACTGGCACATGGGCCACTTTTTTCACGTCTTCTATTTTTCGTCGAATTTCCAATAAAATATCGAAGCTAGTTCGACTCGTCACAGAATAAACCAACATGAAACCATCACCCCACCGGATTACTTCGTCCCGGGCTCCGTTATCCTGATTCTGAAGAAATTAAATAAAAACATATATATATATATAAATAAATAATTAATGAATTTATTTTTAATCCGACATTTTTATTACTTCAAACGTTATTTTTTATGGATACCCGTGCTTGAGTAGACGCTCCGTTTTTTAAACAGTATGTATTACATCTACCGGCCTGCGCACTCGAAAAAACGTGCTCTTCGGCAGGGCTCGAACCTGTATAAGAGAAACCACCGACTGAGATGGGGCCGAACGGGTTAAACCACGGCGGTCGACAAAGGGGAAATATAGGTAAAAATTGTAAGCACTGTCTTTGCTAGAGCCAGCATATATCAATTTGTTAATGCAATGAGGGAGCTGCTGGCGCAGAGTTGGTATCTTTTAGATTAGGTGTCCTTTAAAGCTTTTCTGTCAGCTACCCGAAAACAGAATCACAACAGAGAGGTGACCAAATACTACATTTTAATTCCAGTCCGGATGGCGGTGCCTGTCTATCGATATAACACGTATGAATTAATGAATGATTAATTTATTAATTCAAAATGATTTGGAAATAATATACTTGCTCAGTTGTCATGTCACTGGGAATTAAAAATGATTAATTTAAAAAAAAAAGATATTTGATCCTTGACCTGATCGAAAATAAAATAATTTCAAACCGTGCAAGGCGATAAAGCCACTAAGATGCAAGGGTTTCTGAGATTGAAAGAGAATGAGAAGACTTTAGTGAGGAGAAAGAAAATAAAAGAAGTGGATTTGGGAAGACAGAAGACTGCGATTGATTTTTTGAAGATCGTATTTGGCAGGGAAGCAAGAAACCAGAACAGAGTTCCACAAACGAGAAGTTCGAGGAAAGTAACTATTAGAATGGGACTTACGGTTAAATCTATTTCAAACCGATCGAACCTAGTTGCCAATCTAGTAGTACGCTTAAATTCATGAGGTCGAGGTAGCAAGGAGGAAAGCTCATTAGAACAATTGCCATGAAAATATTGATAGAAAAGACACAAGGAAGTCATGTCACAGCGGTAGGAAAGTGAATGAAGTCGATATGCCAGGTCAGGACCAATAACATTACAGACCCTTCTAAAAAAACAAAAAAACAAATGGTAAATCTCTGCTGTTCTCTCAGTGAAAAATATCGGGAAGAATAAAGTCTGGTTTATAAACAAAAAATAAGTAAACGGTCTAAATCTCCAGGTACAACTTAAACAAGTGTAAACGGCAAAGTAAGACGGGTTTAATTGAAATGGAATCTAATTTAAACTGTTTGTAAAATACAAATTAACCTAGCAGGAGACGATATGATTGCTGGTTCAGTAATATGTTGTTAGCTTAGGCTTAGTTTCTACTTTCGATGTATCTGCTATGAAGACAAGAAAAAAATAACTAAATGAGAAATTTCATCAACCATCACACACACACACACACATATATATATATGTGTGTGTGTGTGTGTGAGTATGTATAGGTACCTCCCCGAATTCGCTAAAAATCAGCATACAGTGATAAAAACATGCTCCAAACGTTTTATAGTTTTATCGTCAAAATCTTCATGTTATTATTAACAAGAAGGATCAAAGTATGTTTTGAATATTTAATGAATTTTTTTTAATCTTTTTAAAACAATTGAATGAGATAATTTTTAGTGATTATATTAACTAAAAGCAGAATTTTTGAAGAATTTAAATCATCAATTTTTTTTGCAAAATCGAACCCGGTCTTACGGAAAATCTCTCCTGAATTGAAAAATAAAAAACACAATGAAACTAAGACATTATTTGATTAGAAAGGCTTTTAATTGCTTTTATGAATAATGTATATTAAAGATGATATTGCCTGAAGAAAATAATTTTTTTCAATGAAAAATGAATTTTTACAAGATTTATTTTGCATTTTTACAATTTTAAATTGAATATTTTATAACGTTTTTAAATCTTTTAGGATTCGGTTTCAATGAGATATTTCTTAGGAAATATTGTTATTAAGTAAAACTATATTTATTAATCATATATTGTAAAGCTTATTACAATCTGACGACCCCGAATATTTTAAAAATAATTTCGATTTGTTTTTGTATGTGTATATACGTGCAGAATTTCTAAGTATAGATGTTCAAACAAACCTAACATTATCGTTAAAAGGTGACGTGTTTTAAGTGTTGTCCATCCTTACAGAATAACCCTCGTATAAACTTTATCGCCTGCTCCACCATACTTAACTATGAACACGTTCGGCAGTCATTCGGCTGTCAATAAATCGATTAACACTTCAGAAAAACAAGACCACGTAGTTAAGAAATGGTTGTATACAAAATTTTATGCGATAAGCAATATTTGTTCAAATGAGATTAATTTAACTTTAAATTTGCTAATTTTCCCTGAATAACGTTTCAGAAATATGTATTTAATTTTGCAAGATTTTTAAAACCAAGAATCAACTTTGGTTTACAAATTTGTCAAAATGGCCGATTTTTATCGATTTTACTGAAAAAAAAAGAAGAAAAAAAGTCCATTCCGATCAATATAATTTCCGTTTGAAATACACCATAGAGTATTTTGTTTACAAGAAAAAGAAATTTTAAATACTTTAGCTTTCAATTAAAGCTAAAATGAGAGCTTCAAGAAAGCTTTTCGATTTTTAAAAATTCATTTTAAACTTTAAGCATAGCGAATTAGTGGAGGTACATATGGTAGCGGGCCAGAAATACCTCCTAGATATACATCCCAGAAATAACACGCATGGCTACTGCGACTATGTAACTATTATTAGTAATTATATTAGTATTAAAAATTTAACAAATAATTTAATTTATAAAATAATATAAAATAAAAAAATCGCATTCTTTTGGACTGCTCGTTCCCAATTGCATTTACACAACTTCATACATAATCCGGAAGATGGAAAAATATAATAAAAAAATTAGACAGAACTTATCGTTTCTATTTAATTAAACGTGTTTGGATAAATATTTGTTGCGGCAAATAGACATTATGCAGAAAAACTTACTGTAAATACACACACGTGTGTGTGTGTGTGTGTAAATATATACCAACTCACACTGTATCAGCATTCTGCACACGAGATGATCATATCGTTTAGATTTGCGGTCTACACAAGGAAATGACAAAAAGATGGACATACGAACAAATGTTTATTGCGGCTAATACATCAGGTACTTAAAAAGTCTGTGACCAGAGAATGCAATGTGAAAAATCAAAGTTATAGTTAGTCTTTAATGCCTTCACGGAGTTGAAGTTTGGCGCGAAAAAATTCATTATTAGTACATCGACATTATAATTGGTAAAGTTAAAGTCATGTATATGTCTATTCCAGAAGATAAGCTAGCTTTCTGGATATATATCGGCTGGGTTGCGAGCTACACAAAATATTTACATAGACACACACAATTCACTATTTAGAACCCAATCTTAAAACCCGATTGCCCAAAAAAACAAATTTTTTTATTTAATATGCAAATACACGGAGATACGTTTGTGGTTTAAATATTCCGTATATATTTGAAAAATCAGAAAATATATTTTGTTAACTTCATGTTTTTTTAATCATTTCACCACAGGCATGACAATAAAGTCACTAAGACGCAAGGTTTGATTGGTTCGTTTTCTACGAGTTATCAACCTTTTTCAGATTATTTAAAGCCGGAAAATATTTTTATATTGTAAGAATTTTTATTGCTTTTAGTGACACAATTATTACTAATTAACCCATAGCTAGGGGGAGAAGAGGTGGATTCATACCTTTCTCAAGGGTATTTCTACATAAGTGAATATAACAAATCCGACTGGAATTAGAACTCGGCTTTCCGATTAACAATTCCGTGCCATTATCCATTAGACCACCCGCACATCCAAGCTTACAGCACGTGGTATTCCCAAACGGTCACCCATCTAGTTACTGACCGGGTTCAATTTCGGTGATCTTACGGAACCGGTGTTTCAAAGTGATGTGTTTAAGACGCAAGGGGTTATTGAATGTGAAAGAATAGAAGAAAAAAGAAAAACATTATTAAGGAGGGAGAACAATAAAAGAACAGGAATTAAGAAGATTGAAGATAACGATCGACATTGCATTTTAATTTTTGTGATGATCAAACTTAACTCGGAATCTTAAATAGACCTTTACAAAAGGATAAACAGCATTGGAATAGGTACAATTAAAATTTTTTAAAAAGTAGACAAAACAATCAAAGGAAAATGTTGTATGTCTCGATGCCACTTTCCATGAAGAATTTTTTCCCCAAAATATTGATAATCCCTGACGCTGTTGAAGAGCTACAAGATGAAGCTCTTTCCCTATTTTTTGCTGAAGCTGAATACGAAACAGCAGACTAAATTTGTTTTCAGTCTCAATCTATGACAAATGCTATTAAGCTTAGCTCTATCTTTTGTCAGAAGTTATTAATACTATTCATTTTGAAAATAAATAAGCAAATATTAGCTTCTCAAAATTTTATATGCGGCAAGTCTATAGCATTGAGTAAAAACTGTTAATGCAATACTCACTCGCAAAAAAATAAAAGTAAAATTATTCTTCTAATCCAACATATGTTTCGACTTTAAATAAACTACAAAGTCTTGATAAGTCGTAAAATAAATCAACCTAGCTCACACAAACACACATATATATATATATATATATATATATATATATATATATATATATATATATATATATATATAGGGCGCGTGGCTAGAACGTTCGTTTTCTGATCATGAAACCAGGGTCTGAATCTCACCATGGTCGATTTGTTAGGAAGGAGACTTACTGATGTCATCAGTCTGGAGGCGGGGGTACGATCCCAGCGTGCGGCACCTTTGGAAAAGTGCCTGAAACCATATCACGGGTTGGCCCAAGCCTTATGAGCGAAATTGGTAGCACGAATCACAAGTCATCGTGACTGAGGGTTCGAGTGTGCAGGCCTTGTTCAGATTGTTGATCAC